AGTCTACCGCCTCGGATGTTAATAGTGATGAGGAAGATCTAGCACCGTTTACAAGATATCACGAACCAGCGGAATGCCCAGACTGGCAGGTCGTAAATGGCGTTGCAAGCGTCGTCAGAGGCAATGTAAAGTGTGCTCGATTTTGAAGCGCAAGATTGGTGAGCGTCATGCAACTAAATACTTCTGCGCTGACTGCAGCAAGTCCGACAAAGCGCAGTACGTACAAGTCCATTTGGTTGCGGCGATTGAACGCACAGGCTAATCAATCTATGCAGGTTGTTTCTGTGCAACAAGGCGTGGAAGCACTACCCTGGAAACTCAATGACGTGCTTTCAGATTTGGCACAAGTGGGATAATGGAGCAAAGCGCCCACGCCCGCGCTGCGGGCGCGACATTCAGAGCCGAGCAGCTGGAACAGGTGGAGGAAAGAAGCGCGAGCGTCGCGAGGCTGGCAGTGAAGCAGGAGACGGGCAGGAACGCGATAGTGGCGAGGGGGACGCACCAGACGACGATGGCGAAGATGTGAATAGTGATGGAGACGGAGTACACTCAAGTGGTGAGGATCAACAACAAGACGAAGAGTAAGGTGTTGATGAAAGTTTGCACTGTTCATACACTTGTTGAGTCTTGCGATTTCAATGACTTTGTTACTTTCAATTGCATCTATGTTTGTGTTGACCAGGCTCTTGATAGAAAGGCCACTCAGATACCCTGTCGAAGCTGATATGATGATAGCGGACACAACATCTTTAGTCCTCTCATGGTGTACATACAACATGGCTTGCGATTTGTAGAAAGAGACTCATGTCGCGTTTTTCAGAAAAGAGCGTCTGGCTTCAAGGAGACCATAATAAAATCAAGTGTTTGATGTCTATAACATGCTGAAACAGACAACATGTGGAAAATCTCGGTAAAGTCCGAAAAATGGCTTGGGCGTTGGGGGTTAACATCATACACAGAACTTAGTCCATACCAATAAAAAAAATTATACCGTACCGAGGTGATATCCGAGGTTGTTCGCAGAGTGAGCCCAGTCCATCAACAAACAGTCACCCCACTCGCGGAATATACGTTTTTGAACGGCAGTTTGTATAACTATCGCCGACGTGACATCGAGTTGGTCCTGTAATAAAAGAACGCTGGACCCTTGCTCCGCTACAGCGTCCAGGAGATGCTTTAGCTTGTGCTCAACGGATGACTTTCCAAGAGCCCGCTGTATTATATTTCGCACCTGCTGGGGCGTCACCATTCATTCTAAATGATATCACAAAAAGATCAAACACTAAATAAAAAAGTCGAATGCAAACAACCGAGACTGTCGGAGAGGAATTGAGTGATCTTTTTTGGTGCGCCACCAACGCTGACCATGTCCGCTAGCCGGCTCTGAACATCGGGGCAATTATCAACGCAGGCTGATCCTTGGTAAGTGCTTCCGATAGCTGTGTTAGACTAGTGGTTATGCGTCCTAGTCTAGTCATGTGCAATATAATTAAATGTTAGTATAAACAATTAATTGTTAGTACGACCTCCATTTACGTATATCTTCACACTCTCACCTCATTGTATACTTTGACGACCCACTTAGTTGCGCAACCTTCACGACCTTAGCCGAGAAATGAGCTGGACAACCTCCAACCCGACAGAGCGTTGACGCAGGCCAATACCACGAGAGTTTTGTTGGCATCCATGAGAGTACCAAAACGTACGAGAGTACCACGGAAAGCGTTCGGGGATATTTCTGGTACGTGGTCGTCTGCACAAAACAATATCGAAATTAAAACTTAAAGGAACCATCACATTAACGGCACCATTGGACAGCAAGTACAACAAACACAGTTATAGCACAATGCATCGACAACAAAAAATGTTAGATATAAATCATCAATAGCAATAAAACCACAACTTAACATATTGAACCTGTTGTGCGTTGTCGTTGTTAGAGATTCTCTCCATCGGTAGCGCAAGAAGTACTGCGCTTCGTAATCTTTTGCCGCCTTAATGATGGTATCCCAATCATTACTTTCAGTTACTGGAAATATAGGAACTACATTGACAACTGCCTGAACAGATTTGTCATCACAAGTCTCGCGCTCCAACTAGCACTCTGCCGCTGACGAGGAATCCTATCGGTGGCTTCATTTTGGCTTTCAACATTCGAGCTGCTATGGTTTGTAAGCACCATATCTAAACAATTATATGCAGAATAAGCTAGACAGTCCATCAATGCGATAATATTCGCAGTTTGAGTTGATAACCAATCATTTTTGATGTTCTGTTCCTTTTTTTTCGATATTCGAGACTTGACTCTGTTTCTCTCTTCATAGCCTGATCCGTTGTAGCTGTAAGAATGAATATAAAAGTAAGACTCAAATTATACATGGGTCTTTTATTCTGAACGGGTTACCTGGTGAGTGAACAACAAGCAGGTTGGCTGGGAATGAAAAAGGTGATTCGTTGAGAGGAATCTCGACTGTTCCGTCCAAATCACTCTCCATACTGTCAAATGTTTCAAGCGCTAATTTTACCGCTGCAACAAGCGAGGCGACTTCCCCCGCTTCTGTCTCGTCTGCTAGAATGATTAGAAATAGTGGTTGGTAGGCCAGATTTTAGTCACTAAAATGAATTAACCCCCATTTTAGTATTTTTAGTTATTAGCGGTGCTTTAAGCTGAACTGGCTTTATAGCACCGCTAACCCTTATTGTCAAAATATATTGACGGCGTGTGATGTGCGCGGCTTCGTGGCGTGGAAGCCTA